CAACATCGCCTCCCACCTGTGAGGACCATCCCCATGTCTTCTTCTTCTTCTTCTTCTTTTCCTCCTCCTCCATTGTAATCACTGGCCAAATCGATACTGAAGAAGAACACAAGCCTATCCATAGGCGAGCAGTACAAGGAACTAGGAGAGGGTGGCGGTAAATGAAAACTTGCAGAAGAAGAAGGGGCAAAGGCACAAAGCAGTTGAGAAAAGAGATACCACATTCACCAACCTTTTCAAGCTCTTCTGGTGACGGTGCTTTCCTCAGCTCTGTCTTCATTTTAAACTCGCCGTCTTCCTGCAGTAGATCAAAGAAGACAATCGTGTTACACAACAACTGATGGCGTTCAAAAGGCTTCTGAGAAGGAATTGATTATTCCCTCCCAGCGTAACTAACCCAAACCATTAACACAATCTAACACTGCTGGTTTTATTTAGCACAAGAACCTTAGTCGAAATACACAGTGAACTCAAGAAGCCGAGGGGCATGGAGGTATAGGCCAGGAGCAGGAGTCCCTCTCACAGGTGTTGAGCGCAGTGGTAAATTCTCCGGTACCTGGACCAATCAATGCCGCTGTCTCAGAGTTCTTCAGCCATAATGGAAGGAAGCGTGAAGTGAGTCTCATCATGATGTAAGGGACGCTGGACGCACTTTTCCAGCCTTACAATGAAATATTTATAATAAAAAAAAAAAAAATCGAAAAAGAAAAGAAAAGAATGAGAGATGGCAAGAAACGAAACCCGATCTGCCTGAAAGGCACAATTGCACATAGTTATTGAAAAAAAAAAAAAGGGTCTGCCTGAAAGGTACACCTGCATATAATTAAAAAAAAGGGGTCTTTGAAAAGTGGTCCCCCACCATTTTAAAGAAACGACTCTTCTGCAGGAGCCTTGAAAAGTAGCACACCACCGTTTTGATATCTGGCTTGCAAAAGAGCCACGAGCATTCCTCTCATTTCACCCAGGTACGAAAAGAGGAACAAAAAATGCCCCGCAGACCCCTGTAGGCATACAACAACCGAGCATTGCCCGGAGCAATTACTGTGTAAAGCCCCCACTGATGTTCTCAAGCAGCACAATCTGCTTGCAAACATTACAGCACAGAGAAGAGTTTCACCCACACGAACACACTTTCCCAACCTCCACAAATCCAGCACGACAGCCAAGATCAAGACACAGCCGTGGCATAGGGGCCAGGACCTGGCACCCTCATGCAACACCGAGATTTCACTCCCCGGCGCACCCCGGCCCCTAACCATGAGCTGAGAAAAAGCGGCCGATGGGCATATCATATCACCCATAGCGTTGTGCTGTCACGGATCACTTAGCAACAACCTGTGTTCCATTCCAAGCAATTTCCGAACGACATGAACTGAAAAATACATTCTCTTGGAGTGTGCAGCCCCCCTGCCCCTGCCTGTGTGGCTAAGCAGGGAGGGTGCGGTCCGCACCTCTGTCCGATTGATGTGTGCCTGCTCTGTAGACGACAAATTAGCAGGTATCCCTACAGAGGGGCAGTCTTCTAACAACACCCACGCATCTGAGATCGTGGCGGAGGCGTATGTGTGTATCAGGGAGACGGGAGGAGGGGGAGGTGGGGATGGCTGAGGGTGCATGGGTGTGAACGAAGAAGAAAGAAGCTGGTAGTTGTCCCCATAGCCGCAACAGGAACAAGAGGTCGGTAGCTGTCCCCATAGCCGCAAGAGGAAGAAAGAAGCTGGTAGCTGTCGCCACAGTCTCACTTGCCAACAACCCTCTCTTCCTCCTTGCCCTCCTACTCCTCCTCCCCCTCCTCCTCCCCTTCTTAGCTCTTGTTCATCATGCTCTCCCTCCTTGGCCACCTGCTCACTCTCTTCTCTCTCCTTCACCTGGCCTGTTCCTCTGACCCTCACCCCTTTCCTCGTCCTCACAGCCCTCTTCCTCATTCTGCACCTTGTTGCCCATCCCCTTCACCTACCTTCTGCCTCCTGGTTCCCTAGTGCTCCCAACCCTCCAGGCCAGGTGGGTTTTCGTTCACAAGTACAGCAAGCTCAGATGCATATCATTGTACATGGACTCACTGAACGACAAAAAAAGCCAACACATTCAGTACGGAAAGTCAAATTTGAGGAACGAGGGGAGGAAGGACGATGGGCATGATAGCAATACCTTTGCGAATATCATCCAGGGAGAGGCTCCTGCATGGCCGCTTCTGACGTACTTCAGGACAGCCCCTTCTGACTTACTGAACAGCCCTTGAATAGCAAGAGGAGTGAAAGAATAGACAATGTCAAAAGAGCCTATGAAGCCTCTCACCCCAGGACTTAAGCTGGCCTCCTCCGACCAATATGGATTCAGAACAATCACTGGACACCCAGCGGAATTGCAGAACAACTGCAGCCCAGGAACCTGCCAGAAAAAAGAGTAGTCAGAGTGTAAGTCTGACCTATAAGAAAGGCACGTCAACTTCCTTGATCATCCACCTGAAGCATGTATACACACAACCAAAAGATATGGGCGAGCAAAAAAATGCCACAGCTGAAAAGCGGTGGACACAAATGCATAGCAAACCGTGCTCGACACAAGATTGAGCCATTCTCTCTCTCTCTCTCTCTCTCTCTCTCTCTCTCTCTCTCTCTCTCTCTCTCTCTCTCTCTCTCTCTCTTTTACGGAAATCGTCATAGCACAAAAACAGATATGGTTTGGTATTCCCCTTTTTCCTTTATTGATTCTGTTTTTTACTGCCGCCGTTTACTGGGGCTTCCATTCGAAGCTTATGTCACTTCTCCTTTTCACCTTCCAGCACCGGGCAGGTGTCAGACTCTATACATCAGAGAGATAATACAACATGAAAAAGAAATGTATTTCTAATGAATATCTTCTTAACGTAATAGAAAAGTATACCCATCTTTCTGATGTTTAC